ATTTGGACACCATTGACATACGGTGAAGGAAAACATCGTGAGCAAACCAAGATTTAATTTCTATTTATAAGTTTGAAATCGCCAATATGCTTTGAACAAGAGCGTGTTGATTAATGCTCGAAACCTTTTCCGTGTTTTTTTTTTTGACCGACCGCAGGCCCGTGCTTACGGTGGCCGGAGATCGTCCCTCGATCCCCGACGCCCGTAGTGTCGCCAGTTGCGGCTGCTGGGGCGTGAGGAGGAGAATTGCTCCCTCACGCGGGCCGCCTCTCTCTTTGCGAGCATGACTGCTTCACAAAAGGAGGAGACGGCGTCCCAGTTCCTCTCACTCCGCACCATGGCCTCGACTAAGGCCGGGCGCGAGAGGTCGCCGCCGCCGATCACTTCCCTGAAGATACGGCGGTGCTCAGCCCAGGCTGGGCATACCGCTACCGTATGCTCCACCGTATCCTCTAGATGGTCCTCACAATGAACCTTTTCCGTGTGAGAAGAGACCTTTGCTCAACAAAGGTCACTTATAAGCTGATGATGGGATGTGTGATACATCTTTACACCATTGAACATGGTTTCCTACTAAAGAGGTTCTTTTCTGTTCTGAAAGTATTGAAATTACTGGAAATATCCAGTAATTTCAATACTTTCGAAATAAGGTGGATACAAAAAAGTCTATAAAGCTTATAGCTTTGTCTTTTGTGAACTAATTGTGTAACAATTTGTACTTAATAATAAAATACGACTGCCTCTTCTTCTTTCAATCAAAATGTATTAACCATTTTCACCCATATTGTCCTAGTCGCCATATTGTCCTTAATAATAGGTAACATTTTGTTTTTTTTTTTCTTACAAAGACATTTTGTTATCTTTAGGTCACCCGTGAAATTAAATACAATAGCCTATCGTTGTGGGCGTTATTTAATCTTTACGTGAATGCTCCGAAGTTATATTATTGTCTAGATTAATGTAGTTTTCGAGTATGAACAGTTCTTATAAATAAAATATATTTTTATCTTATAAATTATACTAGCGACCCACTCCGGCTTCGCACGGGCACAATGTTGTTACAAATTTTCTAGATCTTAATGGATGATATTATACATATAAATCATCCTCTTCAATCTCGCCATCGATTAAAAAACCGCATCAAAATTCATTGCGAACTTTTAAAGATTTAAGCACATAGGTAGACATGGTCATGGGACGTGGGACAGAGAAAGCGGCTTTATTTTATACTATGTATTGTTAATATTCTATTCTAAATTATTATATATTATTTATATTATTATATATTACTTATGATTTGAAAAGGATATTTTTCTGTTGAGTCTGAAGCCTTTATTATGGGCATTATAATTTGATTTTGAATTCTTCATATTGTGACGTCCACTTGGAGACTTGAATAATGAGTTGTGACTAACCGTAGAATAATAATTAATTTTATTAAAGTTAATAAATAAAACTAATCAATATAGACCAACAGATACCGAACTACCCCCGAATGTATTTTTAAAGACTGCCCACGCAACAGACGTGGGTAATATTTGTAACACGCTTTTATTAGGTCGACTTGTAACGAACCACGGAATCGAAAAACGAAATAATCAAAGAGTAAAAGTCTAAAATTACACACTTTTACACACATATGGTCCAATTCGTCCAAAGTATGTAAGATACTACGAGCTCAATGAAAAACGGCACAAAACAATGCTTTCGTTGTTTTTCGCAGTGAGAATGAAATTACCAGATACACATAATATATGAAATCACTAATTCCTAGAAGGCTGCTCTTCTAATGCTGTGGATGCCCATGGCTATCATTGATGGCTTTCAATCAGATTATACAGCTGTCAGTTTACCGGCTTATCTGAGGCATCAATGGCTCATATTCAACACAACACACAAATACACTGAAAAAACCTAAATTTCATCACTTATATCAAAAAAACATCAAAACAATAACAACAAATAAGCTAAGGGATGCAATTTGATATGAAACTTATATATTACACGGAGAGATGACGATGTATAAATAGTTCGTTATTTAAGAATAAATAGTAGTAGGTAATTATGTCTATAAATAGGTACGCCTTAACGTCCCAATAGGGATTACAATCAGGGTATCCTCAGTGTGTTTAGGCGTACCAAAAACAAATGAGAGAACTATCCCAATAGGCTAATTTGAAAACTAATGTACACTTCATCACGTGTCTTAGCACCACTCATCAGTTCACGTGGATTGACCAATAAATAATCAAATTTAACTTAAATATAATTCAAATCACGCTTCGAACAAACTTTGTTCGATTATCCAAGTTCTTCGCATAAATTTAAATCTAAGTTTATTCCTGTACTTATAAAGATGGATTCCTGAAGTTTCTTTAAGAGCGTTAAGTTATAATTGTGTAATCAACTCTTGCTGGGTTCTTTTTGAATTTAGCGCCATCTATAATGTCTAATCGTGAACGCAAAAGTGTAACATTCTTCTTTGAATTCAGGTGCATACTATCCGTACGAATCAACTGTGCACGTTCCCTCCCCACCCCATCGTCAGTCCCCAAATTTTCAATCCTCAAATTGCAAACTAGTCCCAAAAGGTCAGCAATATAATTACAAATTCTTTGGACACTCGTAGTGTCCATGGACGATACCTTTTTTTTGTTTTTTTTTTTTTAGTGTGGGGAAAAACATCAAATGACTTCTCCCGCCCAGGGTCGGCGGGAGGGAGTGTCAGACTCTTACTGACTAAAACCCCGCCTGTTCCTACTCCTGCTCTAGTCCGAGGTCGCGGTGCCTCATTGCGCTTACCTCGCAGCCCCGGCTGATGGACTATACCTTGTGCTTACCATCAGGTGATTTGTACGCTTATTTGCGTCACTATGTCTTAAAAAAGAAATAAAATATAGGTATCTATGCAAGTACCTACATTCCGATCTCAAACTTTTTTAATTAAATTAAATACTTGCTGTAAAGGTTACCAAGAACCATTTGGTTTAAATAGGTAGGTACCTACTTCACGATTCATAGTCGTGTGCATAATTTCCAGACTTTCAAAAGTAAACTTTCGTAAAGTTGCTGCCCTTTTAAATGCCATGTTTTTGTTATTTAACTTTAAAAATAATATTATACTTATTAGCATTTAATGAAGTTTTTACTTAGATGTGGGTTCTGTTCTAGAAGTTAATTCTTCAAAATTTAAGTAGAAATTGACAAGAGATCCAACCACTAACTAATCTCGTAGGTACACAAAAACAAGGTTACTTATTATTATGTGTTATCATCATCAGCCTATAAGTGCCCACTGCTTAGCAAAGGCCTCTTCTCTTACAGACAATGTTTGAACATAATCACCACGTTTCCGATTCGTCATTCCGCCCAAAGCGGATTGACGAATTCAAACTTTTTATAATTATGAATAATTCAAGACCCGTCCGGCTTCTTACAGGTGTAATACAGATTTTTAATATCTCGATTTATTAATGGATATTATTTTTATGCTACGTAATATTATATGGATAAATCTTACTATTCAATCACTCTATCTGTTGAAGAAACCGCATATGCATACGCAGTTTCGTAGTTTGAAAGATTTCAGGATATATAGGGACAGAGGAAGCGACTTCGTTTTATACTGAGTAGTGATATTCCCAAGTTTCCTCACGATGTTTCCCTTGACCGTTTGTCTAGCGTTGTCAAAATAATTTTAGAAAGTATGTACCTATATATAACTCGGAAGAAATCACATTAGTACTTGCCAGACTTCTAATCCCCCTCTTCATGCATGAGAATGCCTTAACCACCACGGGGCCACGAGCCGGGGTCACCAAGCAAGCGCAATAAGGTACCGCGATCTTGGCCAATACCAGGAGAAGGAACGACAGGGGTGTCGGGTGTTTAGTCAGTAAGAGTCTGAAATTCCCTCTTGCCTCAACGTAGGCGTAAATTTGATAATTTTTGCCTCTCAAAAAACCCCCGGTCACCACAACGGAATTAATAAAAATGTTCTTTATTTCATCAAGGAGTCTAAATAATTGGACTTGTTCGTATTAACATTGACAAGCACTGAGTTTTGTACACAATAATAGGGCTGAAATCTTCTGTATGGAAAAAAGCCCTTTTAATAAAATAAAGATTAAAAAAAAAAAACATTGACGTTTAATAAAAAAAATATTTCATGCAAAACCATTAAACGGGAACAACTATGAGTCGTAAACTAAACAACAACAGTCGCAATATTGCGAGATGCAAGCTAATTTAAAACATAAATGATAAAACTACGTTTGTGTGGAAACTCGTTTTATTCAATGTTGCAATAAGGAATGCAAGCAATTTTTCTTCGCAATAACTTTAATTACCTTCTTAGTCATAAATGTTACTATGGACTGTGAAGGTTTTCGTACTGTTAGTGGATTTCTGGAATAGTTTCAAAATTCAATATTTTTATTTGATAGGACGATAGTCAAACTTTCCTTTTACATAAACACTCGCAACTCCAGGGGAATTACTAGTGCCGCAGTAGGTAACATTCCGCACGTCGGGGATCGAGAGATGATCTCCGGCCACCATAGGCAATATTCCGGGCGTAGGGAATCGAGAGATGATCTCCGGCCACCGTAAGCGCGGGTCTGTAGACGGCGAGTAAGGGTTGCTCGCCGCACGACCAGAACCATATCCGACGCACGGCCGGTAGCGGTATGCCCTGCCTGGGCTGAGCACCGCCGTATCCTCAGGGAAGTGATCGGCGGCGGCTACCTCTCGCGCCCGGCCTTAGTCGAGGCCATGGTGCGGAGTGAGAGGAACTGGGACGCCGTCTCCTCCTTTTGTGAAGCAGTCATGCTCGCAAAGAGAGAGGCGGCCCGCGTGAGGGAGCAATCCTCCTCCTCACGCCCCAGCCGCCGCAACTGGCGACACTACGGGCGTCGGGGATTGAGGGACGATCTCCGGCCACCGTAAGCACGGGTCTGCGGTCGGTGAGTAAGGGCAGCTCGCCGCCCGACCAGAACCAGGCCCGAGCGTACGGCGCGAAGACTTCCGCGCGCGCCTCAAAGAGCCAATAGACCACCACAGACGGGGCCCTAAAGGGCTGATGTTCAGCCGAGGTTGCGGGGCAAGCGCAATGAGGCACCGCGACCCCGGCCCAGAGCAGAAGAAGGAGCACTCTTACTGACTAGAAACCCCCCCGTTTTAGTCAGTAAGAGTCTGACACTCCCTCCCGCCCGGCCCTGGGCGGGAAAAGTCATTTGATGATTTTCCCACCACAAAAAAAAAACCGACGTACGCCGCGTAGCGTTCCGCGCGCGCCTCAAAGAGCCAATAGACCACCACAGACGGGTCCTTATAGGGCTAATGTTCAGCCGGGGTTGCGGGGCAAGCGCAATGAGGCACCGCGACCCCGGCCCAGAGCAGGAGAAGGAGCACTCTTACTGACTAGAAACCCCCCCGTTTTTAGTCAGTAAGAGTCTGACACTCCCTCCCGCCCGGCCCTGGGCGGGAAAAGTCATTTGATGATTTTCCCACCACAAAAAAAAACCCGACGTACGCCGCGTAGCGTTCCGCGCGCGCCTCAAAGAGCCAATAGACCACCACAGACGGGTCCTTATAGGGCTAATGTTCAGCCGGGGTTGCGGGGTAAGAACAATGAGTCACCGCGGCCTCGGTCCAGAGCAGGAGAAGGAACGGGGGAGTTTTTAGTCGGTAAGAGTCTGACAATCTCTTTCGCCTTGCCCTGGGCGGGAGAAGTCATATGTATGATGATTTTTTCCTGACAAATGAAAGAAAAAAAAGGGGAATTACTAGTGCGTTGTGAGCCTCTTGAGAATTAGAAATTTATGGTGAAGGTTTGAATAAGGTTTTTGGTATGGAAACATTTTTTTTTTTGTATCTTTTGAACCAGTGGAACTAATTTTATAAAAAAGACCGTTACTTGAAAATCTTATCCATTTAATAATTAGAGTTAATGGTTTTTACATAGCTCACTGTCAAGTTGCTGTCCCTGGCATAACCCGCCTCAGTGGCTGTAGTCCTGTGTACCTACTTATAAAGTAAAAGTCGAAATAGGTATTTTTAAAACGTCAAAATTTCACCAACGTATTCTAAATATGAATGAAGGGATTACCTTTTTTATTTGACATATTAATAAATAATTTTTCAGTTCAATTAGTAAGCATAAAGCTTTATTATCAAAACAGATTTTCATATAATTTTATATAAGTTACAAAGGAAGATAATTAAATGTCGTAATAAATTAAATTAAAACAAAACATTGAACATTAATTATGTCGATTGCAGATGTTACAATGAATGAATTATTTAAACCTACCGGGAAAGACTTTCTAGAAACTTCGACAGTTTTTTTTTCGCAAATTTTCATCGTACCTATTTGTCTTGGTTACTTTTCGGAGTTTGAAAACGAGAAATTGTTAGACAAAGCTTAGCTTTTAGCTTATTTAATGATGATGGCAAAATAAAATACATCTTTTTTAACAAAATGTTTCCCACACTAGGATTTTCTCCTGTGTCGTGGGTGCGTTTACAAACATACAATTTCACATACACATCACAATCAGACCCGGAACAACAATTTGTGGATCACACAAAGAGTTGTCCGCGGCAGCCAGTTGCCCAGTCACCGCGCCAACCGTGCAGTCGTATTGCAAGGCCATCTTATGCAGAATTAGCTCCACCATGGCTTTAGCGGTCTATTGGTGTCTAACTTCAAACTTGTAATTAGAAACTATAAACTCAGATTTCCTCACGATATTATTAACTTATCGTATATCAGCATGAAAACAATGTTAAAACATTTAACTCCTGTAACTCGTAATAACTTCAGTTTGGGAACCGCATCCCCACACCACCCTCATGCATGAGAAGCGGACGCCCAAACCTTCAGGCAACCCACGACCCTTGTATGTACACAACTGTGGTTAAGCTAACTATTATTATAAACGCGAAAGTTTCTAAGTGTGGGTGGATTGATGTTTGTTCCTGCTTAACTCAAAAACTAGCGTACGGATTTGCATAAAATTTGGTAGTGATATAGATTACAGACGCGTAGCACAAAGGCAACTTTTTACTCGGGTACTGTGGTCGAATGTGTTATAGTACAACACATTTTGTTGTGTAAAATTGTTTTAGGGAAAACTTAATTTTCTCCAAAGCGGTAAAGGACAGGTAAAAACTTCCGCATCTCACAAAGTTCAATGTGGTTTTACGGTCACTGGGTTTATTTAATTTCATTGTATTGTACTTACTCATAAGAAACATTTCAAAGAGATATACCTATGTTTGCGAATCAAGAAGAAATTTTGTAAAAGACTCGCCACTAACGATGTATGTGTTTTATTTATCGGAGTCAATTTCTAATATCAACATAAGGCACTAAAAAAATTAAACATTTAATTTATTTTTGCGAATCTAAATATATAAAAATCAATGCCACTTTTCGTTGTATTGTTGGTTGACTGAATTATCAACAACCAATCAGATGACTTGACAAGAGATATAACAGGAGATTAGTTAATTTTAGCGTTGACAAGCCTTTCAGAAACCTGATGTTAGAATATTTTTAAAGTTCATACCCTCTCATTATCCCCGTTATCTATATAAATAGTGATTGATCCATGGTCAGTCTGGTCTAACACTGATCAAGATATTCAATAGGTACAGTAAGATTATTGAGGCTAAACGTGGAGAGCAATTATTGGAATCTTGTGTGTACCAAAGGTCTGTATCATCCGTTAGCTACATTGAATTCAGTCATGTGTTACTGGTTAATTTACATAGTAGCTTAGAACTGCGGTAGAGCCATGATTCGGCACGATTAGGCCGGCTCGACCGAAATGATACCACGGCCTCTCAGAAATCCAGTGTGATACAACCACAGCGTTGTGTTTCGCCGTGTGAGTAAGGTTCCCTAATCCACAAAAGGCCTAGTTAGTCTTCTGTTATTGCGGGTGTCCATAGGCGGTGCTGATTACTTACCTTTCGGTAATTAGTCTACTCGTTTGTCGATCTATCACATAATAAAGTTCCATAATTACTGCTTAGTTAATCCAAAATAGGTGCATAATTCAGAACGTATTTCTAGGTGCAAAGTCTAGAAGAAGAAACATTTTCAATACTCATGTTCTACGATCTGTGACGTCATTGAGACTAAAGAAATCTGAAGATACTATCTACTGAAAAACATTTAATGTTGACTTAAACTATTCTTCTATAACGATTTTGAACCGAAAACAATAGCAAATAAGGATTGTATTACATAACCATTAAAACTAAGCATGGTGCGGTGGCTGACCTTCTTTTGTTACGTAATATCTATATCTATAGGTACTAATATTATAAATGCAAAAGTAACTCTGTCTGTCTTTTCTTCACGCCTAAACTACTGAAACGATTTCTGTGGAAAATGAGGAAGTCAATATTCCACGCGACTGAGCTAGTTGAAAATATATAATAGTCACTACAAGAAAGACTAATTTTATTGAACAATGAACCAAATGTCAACACATTCACGATACTAAGGCTATATTATTATTATTAGTGGAGCGATAGACTAACACACACACACACACACGTCTTGATACGATGTGTTCAATGCGACGAAATACGAGCACAATAGCTTCTGATAGCGTCGGATACTGATATCCAGCCAAATATATCGGGTAGTAAATGTTTGCTCGGGCTAACGAGTAAGAATACGTATATGAGGTATCTACCTTAGCCGTTGCTCGATACTTTCTTTGTGCGTAATTTTATGTAGGTAAGAAAATAATCTATCATTTTTAATAATATTTTTTTTGTGCCATAATATGTGTCACATATTTCTTTTTGTGAGGGGAAAATCTTCAAATTACTTCTCCCGCCCAGGGCCGGGCGGGCGGGAGTGTCAGCTTCTTACTGACTAAAAACCCCCCTGTTCCTTCTCCTGCTCTGGGCCGAGCCGAGGTCGTGGTTCCTCATTGGACTTACCCCGCAACCCCGGCTGAACATCAGCCCTATAGGGCCCCGTCTGTGCTGGTGTGTTACATATGGAGCTACAAATAAATTCGCCATTATCAGCCTTTTACTATTTAACTGATAAAAAGAGGCTCCGTAATCTAACCGCAGTAGCATGAATCACCATGATTGGTTAAGGCGAGTTGGCAATTTTAAATTTATAATTAGAAATCATTTCTTTCATTAAGAGTTTGTCTTCACTTTAGAGAGTACTTACATTCATATGACTCGCAATAAATTTGGTAGTTGCCTGGTTATTGTCTTACACCCTTGTAGGGGAGGGGTGGACCTTTATATTTCTAGACCAACACACAACACTACGCATGCGAATAAATAAACAACATAATAAAAGTAGCGAAATAATAGGACAAGTCTGTGCCAAATTGTTGCCAGAAATGTAAACAAAAATATATGATTTTATGTACGAGTTTCAAAACAATTGAAGCGAAAATTAACCTTTACCTTAAAAACTTTTTGTAGCGCTTAACTTTTTTTAATCATAAAAATAAGTGCTTCACTGCTATCCCACCTGATGGCAAGCAGTGATACAATCGTTGATGGTAAGGTCCATTCAAACCTTGAAGACACCTAAATCATAACTGGACAGGACGACTTTTGCAGTCAAGCTATTGCAATCCTTAGATGTGCGTGGTATTAACGACGAAACGAAACTTCACTTACGGCATTCTTAATTACTCGTAATGTTCAGCTGACTTTTCCAGTCGTGATGTATCGATTATTGCGAATATTTGTGCTAGAACTGGGACCGATTTTGTACTCCCCCGAGGCAAGAAGAAGTCCCAACAAAGCCAAGAATAGCTTCAAATACACGTCCAACTTTAGCTAACGAAAATTGGCTCCGATTTTCTGTACATGTTACAGAACATAAGGTTTTTAATAACATCGCTTCACTACATTAGAATTTCATGTCAGCTTTGTGAATTTTCTTGTAAAACAATTTGGTCTGATTGTATGTAAATTCATATTGCGGTCGCGTCGTTTGTGTACCTTAGCTGGGATTTCGAAGATTAAATTGTCTGTCTGTGTGTTATCTGTTTATTTTATGCTTTATCCCCTAACGTCTTTAACAATCGTTGAGAAAATCAGGTCGTACTAAATTTTTATATTGAGTTTTGAAAACAAAGAAAAAGATATTTGTTTGTATTA